AAAATTTAAAATAATATATTTTTAAAATAAAAATAGAACTTTATCGATATTTTTTAATAATATTTTATTAAAATAATATATTTTTATAATATTTCTTTTATTAATTTTTAAAAGTACAATTGATAGACACTGATTTGTAAACTTCATAATACATACGAAATCAATTAATTAAACTTCTAGGTCATATTAGGTTGGTTACCAACTCAAACTATAAAATTGAGAAACTCTTAGTATTTATCTCTTTAGAGGAATTTTTAATACATATATTTTTTTTTACACTTAAGAAAAAAGTTTCTGTCAGCTTTACTTCCTAAAGATTAGGAGAAAAATCATCTTAAAATTACGTCGTTTTAATAACTTTTTATTGAAAAAGACTAAATTACCTTATTTTTAAAACATACATTAAGGTGATTTGTATCTTTTTTCTTCCTAATTTTTGAGAGGTAAGACGGACAAACATTAACTCCTACCCTTAATGATTAGTTTATGCCATCTCCGGACGGGAACTTAGCATAAAACTACCTACAATAGTGGTCTCACTACGAGGAAGAATAGTGGCCCATTGCAGGTGGTCTCCCTAGGGTGACCGTTCCTCCTTTTTTTTTTTTCAAATTCTTTTATTTTTTATTTTTTTCTACTAATAATATGAGTTTAGAGATATTAATTAAATAAAATTATATTAATACAACTTAACCTTAGGTCCTATGCATTCAAGGTGAAAGTCTACTTATAATTTCTAAATGTGAGTTAAATAATAGAGTATAAATAGTGATGCATAGCATTTGGGAGAGAGTACCTCCATTGTTGATGCTCATAACAATCAGGATGTCACCTAAGGGAGGGACAGATAACGGTAGTACATGTTAATCAAATGGTAGAAAATGACCAATTTTACAAAAATAAGTATTCTTTCACTTTTAAATAATCTTTTAATTTTATCCTTTTTTTATAATTTAACAAAAAAAAAAAATAGCCACTATTCCCCAGTTTAGCTAAGCAATGAATCCTCCTGTTTAGAACAATGGTAATTTTACCAAGAACCTATTACTCCAACTCCAAATAAAATAAATTCATTCTTATAAAATAAATTCATTCTTCTTAAATAAAATTTCGAATTTGAGTTTTATAAATAAAAAAACAAACATTGAGAAAACTTTTACCTTATGAGGTTTGAATCGACTTAACTTTAAATTAATCAAAATTTAACGTGATTTCCAAATATCAGAAGT